GGCCGGCTGAGTCCTGGGTATACTATAAGGCTACTTCGTGCCTAAAAAAATTACAATGTCATCATGCCGAGCAGCTCTCCCACGTCGCGCGAACGCCCACGAAACCTTGGCCGTCCGCGGCCAGCCCCTGGCACCCCTCGGCTTGCGTCAAAGGCCGTTAGCGCCAAGGAGAAAACTTACGTTCACAGTCGACGCAACACCAGAATTGTCTAATATCTTATAGACCATTTCCACCGCAGCATGGTCTTTAGCTCTCATATTTCGCATTTAACATCCCCTTAGTTTCTCCCAACACGAGTTTGTTTCAAATCATTGATTAGTATCGTTTAAAATATTCAAAACATCTCTTTGAATCAGGTCATAAGCATGGTTAGGTTGGCAGCAGCTACCAATTTCTCATACCTGAGGCCGCGGCTCTCAAATACGGGACAGAAGCAAAACAGCAACTAAAACAAAATGAAGGGCACAAGGGTTTGGGAATGAGATCGGCCTTAGTTTTTCAACATTCTAGAACGATTAAAACCCCTTTGGAGTATCAACACAGCGAAATATGGAGAATGGAAGTGAAAATGATTGACGTCTTTCGTTCCCCTCTCCCCCCTCCCCCGTCAGAGGGGAATCTCTTTCAGGTCAGTGCACTTTGACTGAGCATTGGCAATCCAAAGATTACGCGCGCCCCCCTAGCGGCCGGGCCGCGAAGCTCTCTAAGCAAGACACGCCGAGGCCTGCGTCACACTGTTTACACAGCGTTAGCGAGACGCGTGCCGGCATTCTCCACATTAGGGCGATTCCATGCCAAACCAACGAGCACCGGCACCCTCGTCAAAGTGCACAAAGACAGCTTGACAGGTGTCACTCAGCATGGGCACAGCATCGGGTGAACTTCTGAGATTTCAAATTTATCAAATCAAACTTGTTTTAGCCGTCTTCCTCGTCTCATCGCGGTGCCAGGGGTATATAAATTTATCCCAATAGTGCAAAATGAACGGGTAGTGTCCGCGGCCTAATCCTGTTGTTGGCCCTTCTGGGGCTGCCCCAGTGGCCGAGCGCGCTGCCGGTCCTCGGCTGCGTCTCCAGCGGGGGGAGGGGAGGGGGCAGACGGAGCGGAGACAATAGATCGGAATGCAGCGAGGTGTCCATCATAAACGTGTCGCACCGACTCGGCCGTCCTGCACGCAGTTCTCATTCTTTCCGCCGCGCCACCCTCCGATGCCTCAGGATTCGACCGCCAAATTCAAAACGTGTGAAAAGGACGGAAAAATGAGTGAAACGGCAAGAACGCCTACGCAAAAACTATGATAGGTACAGGGAATCCGAAAACGGATCCGTGTAGGGCAACGGTGTACGGAGGGCAATTGATCAGTCCGAAAGTAATCCGACACCGACAATTATTAGTGCCATTGGGGTAGCGTCAAAGAAAAGAGCGAAAGTAGTCGGTTTTGAACACCTCACCAAACGTACAAATATTGATCGCGCGACTCCCGGCCTGATCAATTGCCCTCCGGACTCCCTTCCGCCACACGAATATGCTTTTGGTTTCCAGATCAGTCGCATAGTTGAGCCGTAGGCGTTTTTTTCCGCGAGCGCTGTTTTCACACTTAAAACGTTCAATATTTCGGTTCAAAATTTTTTGAAAAGAAAATCCTTTAAATGGGTGCTTGTATTGTCGTCCTTAATGAACACTGTTAAAAAAAATATGAAAATTCAGACTGATTTCGTCTTACTTGGTGGTCTGAATCGTAAATTCATAAAATGGTACGAATATTAAGACCAACTGTCTGAAAAGTTTGACCTGTTGTCTGAAATTTGAATTTAGACTAGCAAGTCTGAATATTTAGAGCGATGGCTATCAAGTTTTGAACATTGTCGTCCGAAAACTAAATTCATACTTGTGAAATCGGAAAACGAGTGAAAAAACCCCGTCCCCTTTGTACATTTTTCGATTTTCTCAGAACTTTTATCAATACTACTGTTGTATTTCGAATAATATTTACGTTTAGTGTCGTAAAAGCATAGAGAATGTTTCAGCTCCGAAAGGGACACTTATTGCTCTATCCGCTAGGTGGCGCTAGTGTCGCATGGATGATCTTTTGGAGCTAAAATTAGGTGAAATCGCGAATATTTTGTTACAAACTTATTCCAAGTGATTGTCTGAAAGGGCATGAGCGCACCAAAGCAAGATTCAGGTTAATAAGTGCAGTATAAGCTAAATAACAAAGAATACGGTGACCCAAAATTTACGCGATCTAGCACCTTAAGCTGCATATCCACTTGGGACCCTCTACATTGTCTAAAAAAGTGATTCCCGATCAAATGCGGCTTAGTTTTGATCTTAGAACGGAGAGGTCCGTTATTTTAAACCACCCTGTAGTACATGGAGGTGCCAGTGTCAAGTTACGCCACTCAACTTCCGTCAAATTCAATGAAATTTGGTGTCTCAAGTTACCCCGCACAGTTACCATTTTCTATAAAAGTCAGTATTATCCGATGAATGATGGGTTTCCCTCAAAACCAATGCTTTATTTAGAATGTTGAAATAACGGGGTTGAAAGATACTATGGTCATTTGGGTCTCAGCAAAACGTGTTTCGAGTACTAAGGGAGACTTGTAACACTTCTCTAAAATTGTTAAATTTACTAAAATTGAAAAATCAGTATAGAACTGACCAGCTTGGTCCCAACCCGCCATGCAAACGCTTAATCGTCTTTCCAAACAAGTATGAAAAAAAGTGCTAGGGCAGTTTTGACCTCCGAATGTGCCGAGCCAGGTGGCAGCTCCGAAAAGGTGGAAAAGCAGAAGTGTCTCAAGTTACCCTTGCTGTCTCAAGTTACCCCGGTTTACGGTACTTACTGAAAGTTTTCAGATTTGTTCCGAGAATGGTTCTTTACGTAAAAAGAGCTGGGGAACACGATGGAAATAGTTTGGAGACGATTGGGTGAAGTTGTGATGTCGGTTTCCCCATTTAACGTAATTTTTTCCCCGAAAAATCGATGTTGTCAAAATAGCTCGTCTTCGATTTCGATGTGACTTTCCTCACATGATCCTCTTTGGCACTAGACTAGCTTGTTCCCTTTGTATACGGACTTTCAAAGCTAACATGTGACGCGGGAGAGGGGCCAAAAAGGTCGATATTGTAAGTTCCGTCATGTCCATTCGCACCTTACACCAACTTTGCGGCTAACCCTTTGTTCCATTCAAATCTTCGAATTCCACTCACACCTATTAAATCTCTAACTAATAGTGACTATCTTGCTTGAATTTGAAGATCGTATATTGATTGGAAGTGTACTTTCAGAACGCGTACTAAATGTCCACCATACTCCGACTTTTACCTTAGCGGTTTCAAAGTAAGCACCACAAAAACTACTAGGAGTGCTCCCTGCTCACCGCCGTATTTAGAATCAGCATGGTCTGTTTACCTTATGAACGAGTTTCGGTGGCGAAACAGCGAGGGGGGTGAGTGTGCGAGTGGAAGTTGTGTGTGAAATTGGTGGGTTGTAACAATTGGTGTAATTTCCGTATGCCCCTCTCGCTCCTCTGGGGTCGTCCACATATAACGTAATCACGATTTTTGGATTTTTGACCTCCCCCTCACGTATAATTACGTAATCCGCAATATTTTTTTAAAAAGTGAGAGGAATTAAGATCAAGCAGTTATATGTTTCCAAAACACGGTACGAGTGATAAAAAAAAATAATTTCAACCTAGGGTCAGTTGGGGGTAATTATGGGACACGGGGTAAAAATGGGGCAGCTGGATCTTAGTCAAGGATTGACATTTTTGAACGCATGACATATATGTCATACGATTGGTATAACAATCGTGATATTTTAAATGAGTAAATAATATTTGCTACGGCACAAGCTCCAAAATCTCGATTCTTGACTAAGTATCAGCTGTCCCATTTTTACACTGTTAAAAAAGGGCTGTAAATTAACAGCACTTGTGCTGTTAAGTTTGATAGCAACACGACTTGTTTTATTACAAGCATGTTGTAGCCCTCGGTGCTGTTTTCTGACAGTTCTGTAATAAAACAATACCGTCAATGGGGGTAACTTGGGACACTTTTTCACGTTTTTTGAACGCCAGAGGCAAGATTCTCAACCCAGACCAATGGTTCCTAACTATGTTAAAGTTTGACCCTTTCCCCATGATTTCATGCTTGTCTGGTTCATTTGCCTCGATTATTTTGTTTCCCAGTGGTCTCGAAAGAGTGTCCCAAGTTACCCCATGACCGGGGGTAACTTGGGACAGTAGGTAATTAGCTACATTCCCATGCATCTATTGATGATAATGGATGTAATAAAGTTAAGTCACAACATATAGACCTAGAATTCAGGCCTAGGAACTCTTGTTGGACCGATATTGGACTATATTTAGGGCTCTACGTGGAACTCTCTTTTCTACTGGTATTATCCAAGCATTTTCTGAAAACTTCAAAATATGGATTACCAGAAGACAAAACTGCAGAGCAAGGCATCTCTTTCCATCATCAGCGCAAAATCCGAAGTTTAAGTTTTGTCAGGGACCGGGTCAGTCAACTCCTAGAAGGCTAGAACTGCTGGAAACATGAGGAAAAGACTGTCCCAAGTTACCCCGTAAAATTTCGATTTTTGATAAATTGAAGTCTGGACCGAAGATGAGAAAACTGTAATCAATGCCCTTTTGCGAACCTTATTGTCTGTGTATGATCTAACAACCCAGAGAGACTAATCGGCCAAATCTGCACTTCACTCCTTGCACTAGGGTCAACTTGTCAATGATTGACATATTTTGTCAAAAACCCTATTATGTAGTTTCCCCTTTCTCAAATACTAATTGTGATGTTATGCACCTTTTCTACCTTTCCGCGCGTGCCCTGAGGCCTCTGAAACAAAACCCTGCCGCGGGTTTGACGATAGGAAGCCCCGTCGCTGAATTGCAGCACTAACAAGCTGTACAGGGCAGACTGTCCCAAGTTACCCCTGGTGTCCCAAGTTACCCCCGCTGACGGTACTTCTTTGGAGTCTTCGACGATGTCATCCCAACATTTGTGTTGATTTCATCGTGCTGTTATTAAACAAGACCCTTGTAACCTGACAACAATATATGTTTTAAGATTGCAAAAGGCTGTTTCTAAACATGAAACCTGTTCAACGACAACACAACTGTTTTTAATCACGATTACATTATTGTTTCTTGACAAGGAAGTTGTTATGAAACGAAAGTGCTGTTTCTGGATGGGTTTCCCGTTCAGATACAAAACAATACGGTTGTTATTTAACAGCATTACTGTAGGTGGTTGTGTTGTAATATTACAGTGGATTTTTAACAGTGTAGGTGCCCCACCCTCCCTTACTACTTTCCATACAAGATTCAGGGATGTCCATAGTCCCGAAAAGGACGTCCAAAGTACGACTAAAAGTAGTATTTATGTTTACGGGGGTATGTCACAACAGCATTAACAAACGACAATGAAGTTCCTTCTCACAGTGCAGTCGGTGTCTAACCATGAGAAGCATCAAATTTCTCCCTAGGTTGTTGGCTTTGGAGACACGTCAACGATAAGTTTAGTGCATGCTCGAGGTTTCGTGACTTGCGGTTTCTTGGCGTGAAAGTAGAGCACATGTGCGCGAAATCTGCCGTAGGGCAGGACGGGGAAATGCCTGAGCTGTCCAATCCGGGACGGCGTGTTGGTGACATTGTACGTTATCTGCAACAAAAAAGAGCGTTTAATAAAAGGCACCTTACAAAATGATCCAGGAAGCGGAAGAAGGGAATAACTTGACTTATCCCCAAATTGAGTTTTTATTTTATTATTGTGCCTTAGAATGGTTTACATCAGTACACCAAATTATTTGACTGAATTCCAAGCAGTTTAAGAGAAAATCCACATGGAACAAGCTAGGGCCCGCGGCAGGCAATGGCTTGTCCATTGTCGGTTATTTTTTAACTTGTTGAATGCTGGGGGGCTCCGCCCCCCAGACCCCCCTAAAGAGAGTTGTTGTTTCTACAGATAGCACGATCTTGAACCTTGTCACTTTTTAACTTGTCCAGGCTGGGGGGCTCCGCCTCCCAGACCCCCCTTTCTCCGAGACAGAAGTGATCTATCTGCAGAAAACTCGATTTTTCGCCGTTTTTTAGGTGTTTTTCGGCTATAAAAACTGAACCAGTTGAGCTAGGATAATGAAATTTCGCGTGTGGCGAGCCAAGGACATACCCAAAAAGTGTGCAAAATCTCACCGAGATCGGCCGAGCCGTTCAGGAGGAGTAGTGCGGACACGCACACACACACACACACACACAGACAGACAAAACTTTTCAACCCCACTGAAGTAACAGGCTCCGCTATCGCTCAGAGGCATTTTTTTTAAGAAGTCCGATCGTGGAACACGACCGATGCCGATTTCCTCCATTTTTTGGTCAAAGGTAGTCCTTGTGGGTCTAAGAAAGGCCACAAATTTTTTGGGCCGAAATATGCACCGTTCAGATTCTATGGGCAATTTTCGTTTTCTCTGACAACTTTTCACATAATATGGCCAAAATTGAAAAATCACCTTTCTGAGGCCTCTATGCACTCGATTGAGCTTAAAATGTGGTATCTTATGTAAAACCACGCGAGGAACACGAATCCGGTGCCCGTTTGTTGATAGGACAACCCAAACAGATGTTATGACTGTTTTTCAGGTTTTGTAGTGGTTTTTACTTTTCTTGGGGTTTTGGTGTTCGGCATCGATTTTCGCCAATCCGATGAGTGGATTTTATAGATAAAGGACCAATCTATCATACTACGTGATAAAAAGTTTGTGTACGCCGCGTGAAAAGCAGTGGCGCTGCAAAAATTGAAAAACCGTCATTTCTGGGTAGTTTTAGATCAGATAAGGCCCCCTTTCGCGTGACCGTCTCCGCCCCATATTCAGTCTAAATATTGTCCCAAGTGATGTCAGAGTTGGTGTGAAATTTCACCGCTGTAGCTCAAGTAGTTTGGAAATGGCAGCTTTCTAAAGTTTTGCAATCACGTAAGGCATTTACTTTAAGTAGAATTGCGGTAAATGTGAAGACTCGTCACAGATCGGGTAATAAATGAGATAGATGAGTGCGTCAAAGTTCTCTAGGCGTAATTTTGGACAAGGAAACCGATTTTGCTGGTACGAAGACCCTAGGCGAACTCTGAAGTTGGAAAAAGGGCCATTTTTATGTGGTTCGCACGAAAACGTAGTTTTAGAGTACACCTAGGGCCTTCGTACCGGCAAAATCGGATTCCTTGTCCAAAATTACGCCTAGAGAACTTTGACGCACTCATCTATCTCATTTATTACCCGATCTGTGACAAGTCTTCACATTTACCGCAATTCTACTTAAAGTAAATGCCTTACGTGATTGCAAAACTTTAGAAAGCTGCCATTTCCAAACTACTTGAGCTACAGCGGTGAAATTTCACACCAACTCTGACATCACTTGGGACAATATTTAGACTGAATATGGGGCGGAGACGGTCACGCGAAAGGTGGCCCTTTTCTGATCTAAAACTACCCAGAAATGACGGTTTTTCAATTTTTGCAGCGCCACTGCTTTTCACGCGGCGTACACAAACTTTTTATCACGTAGTATGATAGATTGGTCCTTTATCTATAAAATCCACTCATCGGATTGGCGAAAATCGATGCCGAACACCAAAACCCCAAGAAAAGTAAAAACCACTACAAAACCTGAAAAACAGTCATAACATCTGTTTGGGTTGTCCTATCAACAAACGGGCACCGGATTCGTGTTCCTCGCGTGATTTTACATAAGATACCACATTTTGAGCTCAATGGAGTGCATAGAGGCCTCAGAAAGGTGATTTTTCAATTTTGGCCATTTATGTGAAAAGTTGTCAGAGAAAAACGAAAATTGCCCATAGAATCTGAACGGTGCATATTTCGGCCCAAAAAATTTGTGGCCTTTCTTAGACCCACAAGGACTACCTTTGACCAAAAAATGGAGGAAATCGGCATCGGTCGTGTTCCACGATCGGACTTCTTAAAAAAAATGCCTCTCAGCCAAAAATGGTCATAGCACTGACTCGCATGGTCCAAAACCACCGTTCAAACGCTTAATCCTCTTTCCAATCAAGTATGTAAACAAGTGCTTGGACAGTTTTGACCTCGGAATGTGCCCAGCTAAGTGGCAGCTCCAAAGGTAGAAAAGCAGAAGTGTCTCAAGTTACCCTTTCTGTCTCAAGTTCCCCCGGTTTATGGCAATGAAAAAGCTTATATTTAGATTTGTTTTGGTGTATCTTCAAACAAAAATGCCCCTGAACGTAGGCAATTCGCACCACTTGCCCCCCCTAAAGCCTCGGATCCGCCCTTGACAGATTCTGCCATTTCAATTTATTGTGTGTAAGATCTAGCCCGTTGATTGCAAAACGCTATGCAGAGATGAAAAGAGTACAAAATTTGGGGTGCATTAGGCCTAGCAGACTGCCCGATACTATACTCCAATTCAACCGAACACAAGGGCGGAATTATTTACATCAACATGGCGCATTCGAGTTTTTTGGCTGAGCGATAGCGAAGCCTGTTACTCCAGTGGGGTTGAAAAATTTTTCCTGTCTGTCTGTCTGTCTGTGTGTCTGTCTGTGTGTGTACACTACTCCTCCTGAACGGCTCGGCCGATCCGGCTGAGATTTCGCAGGCTTATTAGGTATGTCCTTGGCTCGGCACACGCGAAATTTCACCACACTGCAAAAAAATTCTGAAATTTAAGACATGAAAATGTCTTAAATTTAATAACATTTTGAAATGATATGAAAACTCGGAAAAGTTTGAGAAAAGTGCTATACTTTATTACATTTACCAAAACTAAAATGAAAAGTAATAAATAGTTGGTAAATTTTAAAACCACTTTTAAAACTTAGGAACAGGGTTGTCAAAATTAAGATTGCCTGCCAAAAGTAAAAATTGGTTTCTTAAAATCCTCATGACTGATGACTTTTCATAACCAGATTTCTGAAACTAAATGATTGAAGTTAAAGTTGAACGCTTCAGTGATAGCTGTAACATTCAACGTAAACCGAAGGTTTAGTTTGATTACTTCACGCAAACTGTCGACAAGCCACTTCTCACACGGTATGGCCCACAGTCAGCCGCTGGGTTCAAGGCCAGGTTTCACAGACCTGCCGCTAGGTGGCGCTTAGAGCGCCGTGTCCGTTCCCGAATAAGTATTTCCTATTTGTATTTCTAAAAGAACTTCTTTTGCCAAATGACACCATCTATTGCCTTAGTAAATGTCTTCTCTAGCCGCTAGCTGAAATTTTTTAACAAAATATTCCACTGGAGTTGAGTAAAACGCATAACCATGTTGCCACTCGCTGGCGTCTGCTGTCGGCCATTAGGTTAGGTCCAGGCACCTCCTCCGCTGAGGCACAGTCGGAAGATGGAAGACATACAATTCTATGGCCTTCGTGCTCCGACTATTTTTTGACAACCGACACTGCTATGTGACACGATGTGAGATGCATTTCAGAATTCTGACATCCACACTCGAAATCGGACGTCAATATAGAAGTTCTTTTCTCCCACTTTACACTCTCCGACACACTGTTAAAAATAGTTGTTTTAAAACAACAACACAGTTACCAACCTCGACAACGCTGTTGTTTGTGAACAAGTTTGCTTGTTTTGAAACGACGAATTCGTTGCTAATTATTTTAATGACTTATGCTGTTTCAAAACAATATTTTGCTGCGTACAAACAACCCGGACATTCTAAGAAGTGGTAACTGCGGGGTAACCGGGACTCTACTAGGTCTGTGACCTAATCGGCAATAAAAATTGATGCAAATAAGGCTGTCTATCGGTTTACAAACATCTTGTGGACGAACGACGCAACTCGTTAGTAAACAACAAAAGTCATTTGAAAACAACTTTGATCGCTAAGAAAATTAGCAACACATTAACTGCTAAATTACAACATAATTTTTAACAGTGCACTCCACGGACATTTTTGGCCCGTCCCGTTCATTTTTTGTAAAAAAAATGACGGAGGGACGGGCATATAGTATGATGCCTGCTGTGCGTCCGTCCGTTCGTCCGTCCGAGGACTTCCCGTGGTCCGATCTTGACCAAATTTGGTATGCAGCCTCCTTGGGTGACCCTTAGAACCGCCCGGTGGCAGCAAATCCGATCCGAGCCCCGGGGGCGCTGCTGCAGGTGCATCATGGTCTACATGGGGTCGAGGAGGATCTCGGCAACGGATGCAGCTAGAAGGGCATGTAGGGGTATTCTTGGAATCGGGGCGACGAGAAATAACAGGAAAAGTAGCGATATACATCGGCAACTTTGGCCCGTCCCGTACATTAACAAATGTGTGAATTTCGCCTTTGTTTAACCCTGACGAATTTAAACCAGGGTCTAGGGTCAAAATAAATGTCGTTTTCGTCATCAGCACCCTCAAAAACATCAGAAACAATGCAAAAACTCGAATAAAAAGAATGTTCCGAAAATACCCCACTTGGATTTGAACCCGGGTCCGAACTTCTCCGATTCGTTCGAAAGTGGCACCATTGGTTTTTTCTCGTCGCACCGATTCCAAAAATACCCCTACATGCCCTGCTAGCTGCATCCGTTGCCGAGATCCTCCTCGACCCCATGTAGACCATGATGCACCTGCAGCAGCGCCCCCGGGGCTCGGATCGGATTTGCTGCCACCGGGCGGTTCTTAGGGTCACCCAAGGAGGCTGCATACCAAATTTGGTCAAGATCGGACCACGGGAAGTCCTCGGACGGACGGACGAACGAACGGACGCACAGCAGGGATCATACTATATGCCCGTCCCTCCGTCATTTTTTTACAAAAAATAAACGGGACGGGCCAAAAACCAATGGTGCCAGTTTCGAGCGAATCGGAGAAGTTCGGACCCGGGTTCAAATCCCAGCGGGGTATTTTTGAACATTCTTTTTATTCGAGTTTTTGCATTGTTTCTGATGTCCTTGAGGGTGCTGATGACGAAAACTACATTTATTTTAACCCCAGACTCAAGTTTAATTCCCGTCAGGGTCAAACATAGGCGAAATTCGTACGTTTCTTAATGTACGGGACGGGCCAAAGTTGCCGATGAATATCGCTACTTTTCCTGTTATTTTCAGTAAACCTACAGTTTAATTATTTTTTCTGCAATTGTAGTCCTTTTGATTGTAAGTACTGAAAAAATAATCAGCAACCTTACAGAAAAGTGGTCTGTTGATTATATTTTCTGCAACTACAGTTATGATCAAGCAGAAAAAAATTACTGTTCCATTCTAGTAAAAATGATCTATAAATGTAGGCAAAATGTTCTCTACATACAGATAATATGTACAAGAATTAACAGAAAAGATTTTAAAGAGTCAGATTAACTTTTTGAATGTTTCCGCTAAAAGTCACAATTCAACCATCTCTTAAAAGCCGCTTACATTGAGTCCTTTCTTGACTTGTCAAAGCTAAGAATGTTTTGTAGGATCATTTTGACTAAGCGCATTACCTTCCAATCAGCTTTGTTTGAACGGAGAAAAATTTCACTGAATATATTTACTGAAGATCACAAAGTAGTCATCGACAAATTGTTTATGAGCACAAACTTTATCTTCTACATTTGCAGAAAATAAATTCTTTGATTATAAACAAATTTGTCATCATATTTCTACTGACATTGTAAATTTTTTGTAAGTAAGTAAAAGATTGTCTATAATGACCAAATTTGTTACCGCTAATTTATCTGTATCTCATGTAAAATTTATTCGATATGTTATTGAAAATATTTACTATATCATAGTAACGCTCTAAAATCAGTAAGCCGTAGAGTAAATTTTCTACAATATAGAAAAAATAATCAGTGAAGGTCTGAGAGTGTAGACAAATGTTTATGAATTTTAATAAACCATGATCTATGAATTTTAAAAACTTGGTCATTAGTTTTAAGAGGAGAAAGTTTCTTACTTTTAATAGCAAAAAATCTTTGTAAACTGCTTCACAAACTAGTTTCTTAAAATTAAGATGGATTTTTTTTGCAGTGCATCCTAGCTCAACTGGTTTGGTTTTTAAAGCCGAAAAACACTTAAAAAAGGCGAAAAATCGAGTTTTTTGTAGGCAAATTGCCTCTGTCTTGAAGAAAGGGGGTCTGCGGGGCGGAGCCCCCCAGCCAGGACAAGTGAAAAAGCTACAAGGGTCAAGATCGCGTTATCTGCAGATGAAGCAACTCCATCTAGAATGAAGGGGGGTCTGGGGGGCGGAGACCCCCAGCATGCAACAAGTTAGGAAAATCGACTATGGAGAAGCCATTGCCTGCCGAGGGCAGGCTAGCACCGCAGGCCAAGGTAGGTACGCCAGGCGCGGATTGGAGAAACAGGCAGCGCGACATCGCGAAGCCTGTTACGACAAGACGCGGTCTGGCGTAAACCTACCTTGTCCTAAATTTTATGATTTCTCGTGTTTTTCAGTGTTTTCACTGCACCTTTATAGTGGGGGGGGGGGGGGTCGAGAAGAGCAATAAGCCTAATGCACCCGAAATTTCAAGCCCTTTCCATCGGTGCAATAAGCGTTTTGAAAAACTCAGTCTAGTTTTCATAATCCATAACAAGTGCGCAACTTCTGCACTAACCGCGCGAGCATCGCTTCACGGTCTCTCTAGGCCGTTGCCACCCCCTACGATAACGAAGGTCATTTTCCAATTTTTGCTGTATCCCCGGAGTGTGATTTGATTAGGTCCTACTTTCGGCATGAGAAACATCCGAGGGAACATCAGTCCTTTCCCGTTATTTGTTAATCTCTGCCTCTTTTATGTATAAAGACTCCTTCACCACTTTTTTCCAATTTTATTGGCTGAGCGATAGCGAAGCCTGTTACTCCAGTGCGGTTGAAAAGTTTTGTCTGTCTGTGTGTGTGTCTGTCTGTGTGTGTACACTACTCCTTCTGAACGGCTCGGCCGATCTCGCTGAGATTTCGCAGGCTTATTAGGTATGTTCTTAGCTCCGCACACGCGAAATTTCACCAACCTAGCTCACGTGGTTCAGTTTCTTTAGACGAAAAACACCTTAAAAACGGCGAAAAATCAAGGTTTCTGTAGGCAGATCACTTCTGTTTTGAAGAAAGGGGGGTCTGGAGTTGAAAAGTTACAAGGGTCAAGATCGTGTTATCTGTAGATGAAGCAACTCTATCAAGTTAGAAGTAGCCGATGCTGGACAAGCCATTGCCTGCCAAAAGCAGGCTAGCGCCGCAGGCCAAGGTAGGTACGCCAGGCGCGGATTGGAGGAACAGGCCGCGATACATCGCGAAGCCTGTTACGACAAGACGCGGTCTGACGTAAACCTACCTTGTCATAATTGTAACAACGCTATTAAAATTTTGATAATTCAGTTAAAAATGTAAAACGGAACGACAAAGGAGTCGAAATTTGTAAGAGAGCCTTATTATACCGATTGTTGGAAAACATCAGATCTACCATTGAACGAAAACAAGACTAGGATCGGACAGCCCGTTCCGAAAATATTTGCGAAAGTGTGAAAATAAATTTTGTTTATGGCAGCCAACCGTGTTTGTTTGCTTCGGACTCACGTTCCGCAGAGGGCACTTTCGTGGGAACCCGTCGACGTGTTTCGAAAGTAACTCTGCTAGATCTGTAACGATGTCCTCTAGAAGAAAACAAACGTCTCCAAACGGCATTACTAAGTAGTGTTCTCTCCATCCCGACACTGAATCCCACTTGGCGAAATCAATAGTTGCCTGTCAAAGAGAGGCAAAGATTAATTTTGCAGATTGAAGCGACCAAGATCACTCAGCAGCTAAATAATAGGAATGTCCGAATAGGTTCGTACACAGAATTGGCTCGTTTCAGCAGTCGCGAAATAGATACTTTTTGCTTGGTCTCATACATTTTCCGTACAATGGCACTCACTCACCCTGGTTGCACCTCGAGTCAAGATGTTGTTTTTTACCGTGCCGTAGCCATTGAAGAGTAGGTTGTCCTTGCTGGAACGGTTGAAGTGTAAAACACCTTCTATCTTGAGGTCATCATCGGTGTCATATTCCGGACAAAGCCCCATTTCGCGAACGGTAACAACATACGGTCCCTAGAATAGGAAGCGAAATATCGTTATATGGCTCAGCCAATTTTAGGCTAGCGGCGGCGGCGTAATCGACATATCATTTTTGATCCAATTGGCTACGGGGCCACAAAATTTCGTCAAAAACATGTTAAAAATGATTGCGTAATTGATCCAGGAAGCGGAAGAAGGGGATAACTCAATTTTGGCCATTTTTCAGGAGAAACAAAAACCTGTTAGCAGGGAAAACTAAAACAAAACAAATGAATGTTGCAGATGTTAATAATTTCAAAAAGCATTTGTTAAATTTTGGAAAAAAATCAAAAGTGTAAGGTCACTCCGTAGAGGAATTCTGCGACTCATCACTTTCCGTTGAAATGGAAAACAGAGTCAGCTCACCTTATATTTCCTAAACAAAGTGGAATTTGGAGACAACTCAAGTGGAACAATAGTCTGCATAAAGTGTATGTTACTCTGGTGTATTTTTTGGACTTAGCTCTTTTTTCCAAATTGAAATTTAAAATTAAGGGGGGGTTAAGTTGAGTTGATTCTTTTTACACTAGATTCATAAAAACACAAGTTGAGTTATATCCTTTTGCCAATTTGTCAAACGGACTCATGTAGACTAAGGTTGAGTTATCTCCATTTTCCAATGAAATTTAGACTGTAAAAGGGGTTAAGTTGAGTTATACCCTTTTTCCATGTGGATTTTCTCCTAAACTGCTTGGAATTCAGTCAAATAATTTGGTGTAATGATGTAAACCATTCTAAGGCACAATTTTAAAATAAAAACTCAATTTGGGGATAAGTCAAGTTATTCCCTTCTTCCGCTTCCTGGATCAATTAAAGCAAGATGTTAATTGGCTGAGCGATAGCGAAGCCCATGCCGCGTTTGGGCGCACTAAAATGTGACTGGTCGTGCGCCTGCCTGTTTGTAGCGTACACGCTCACGTTTCTCAGCAACTTCATCACCAATTGTTCCCAAATTTCGTATTGAACATCTCCAAAGTGGCCCACAGGGGGCGTTTATCTTAGATCAACAATTATCTTCGTTTGATATATTCAGAACATCGTTTTGAACTAGGTTATTAGCGTTTTTAGGTTGCTAGCAGCGTGTGGCTGACCACTTTCTCATACCGGCTGCCGTCTGCAAAACGAGACGGCACTTATGCAAATAAAGAAACTGATGAGCAAAGGGGATTTCAAAAACATAGGTTCTGAGTTAGTTTTTTAGCATTCTAGAATGATTGAAACCCTTCCGGAGTGTAGAGAGGAAAATACGAAAACTGAAAGTAAGAATGGTTTGCCTGTTGCGTTCTCCTCTCCCCCCTCCCCCTCGATTTGACGCCCACCCGTTCAGAAGCTACCCCATTTGGGGGTATATGGGGTGGGTTTGAACAGGGGGGTTGAATCTCGGCAAATCGCTTCTTCACCGGTCAGTGACACTCCCTCTTAGCAAATTTAGTCAAAATCAATTTTTAAAGCCCATTTTCAACTGTTCTTTAGACATCATTTTGACAACTTTTTTCATGGGGGTGGCTTACCCTTTTAGCAGTAACTTTCAACTGCGACGTTTTGGGAACCTTTAGGAGACCCATTAAGGTACCTTTCTGCCAAATTTCAAGCATTTCCGAAGACAACGAAAAAAGTTATAATTATTTGAATAAGGGGAGACCTCATTTTGGACGCCAGTGTATGTTCAAACAGAAGAGAAAATTGAACAGCTTTCCTCCAACCTAATATTAGGTTAACTCACAATCAGGTATGACAGTCAAATTAATCCAACTTCGTTTCGGGGACTTCAGACTAAACGAAAAGCATTTTTCTCTCCGCTAGGTGGCGCCAGTGCCAGAGCCTGCGTTGTGAAAAGGGCTCTTTTCTGTTAAATTTTTATATTTACAACTCGAAACAGATATTACTCTATTGGCCATGACGAAACACATGCTCCTATGCCAAATTTAATATCTGTAGAATACGTGCGAGTTTAAGGGGGCACACACTGCAAATGCAAAGGCGATACTCAAGAACATTTTTGGCGATACAATTCAGTATCGCCAACAAACGGCATTACGGAAAAGTATTGCCTTCAGAACGGCGATACACAGAAGTATCGCCAAAATTTGGCGATACTTTTGGGTATCGCCAAAACCACGGCATTAAACTAACGACTTGTCCCCTTGATTTGTTCAACGTTTAATGCCAAATCGTGGCAATACGCCGAAGTATCACCAAATTTTGGCGATACTTTTGTGTATCGCCGTTTTGAAGGCAATACTTTTCCGTAAGGCCGTTTATTGGCGATACTCAATTGTATCGCCAAAAAAGGTACTAAAAGTATTGCCATTGGATCTGCAGTGCACCAGTGAAAATCGTCAAAGTTGTGGTAATTTTTTAGTTTACCGTCTTTTGGCCCGTTCCGTGAATTTTTTGTGAAAAAAATACCCCCCCCCCCGTGTTTGAAATTGATGTGGGCTGTTTACGATGTTCATCACGAAAATGACACTCAATTTGACCACTTATATATGTTTCTACTACAAGTCGGCCAATATTGGACCAATTCATTGATGTTGAGTTCCACATTGATTCCAGAAGATTCCAATGTGCTTACCACGAATATTACACCTAATTCACTCTGAAACTTACATTTTGACCCGGAATGAAGCGGTTTCAGACCCAAATGTTGATACTGGGATTCACATTAATTCCTGCGTTCCAACCCTGCCTTCAGGGAACGAAAAGAGCCTGCAGAAGGCAGCGTAGCGCAGCAGGCCAAGGTGGGGTAACGCCGAGCGCGGATCGGCGTAACTGGTGTAGCGGAGCGAAGCCAGTCACGCCGTGATGCGGTCTGGCGGTACACCTACCTTGTCACGTACACTGAGAATCCAAACGCTATGAGTATAGCGTCAATTGGTACAATGCAAAAGCACTGCACATTGAAGTGCGATGCACCCCCCCCCCCCCCCCCAATTCCCATGCATTAGCATAGGGCTTTTTTGGGACGCTTTGCACGTAAGGTGCAATATGGCTATGGCATCGCACGTATGGTCGAGCGTATGGTGCGATATCTCAGCTGCATTGCACCATACGTGCTATACTCATAGCGTTTGGAATCTCAGTGTAGGCCAGCAAACAGAGCCCTCGTGAACGATTACCCTGTGTCCCGTTGAGACATAGGAAAGGTGCAAATATTGTGAGCTATGCTTCGGGACACACTGCAAACCTAACTGTCTACTAAGTACACACTTACAAATGCATGCTTGCAAGTACACACTTACAAACGCATGCTTGGCCAAGTACACACTTACAAATGCATGCTTGCAAGTACACACTTACAAACGCATGCTTGACGCCGTATAACTCCATGCGCCAAGCACGCGTTTACAAGAGTGTACTTGCAAGCATGCATTTGTAAGTGTGTACTTGGCCAAGCATGCGTTTTTAAGTGTGTACTTGCAAGCATGCATTCGTAAGTGTGTACTTAGTAGACAGTTAGGTTTGTAGTGCAGCTACGGAGTTTACATTACATTTTGTACCTATCGGAGGCCACAGCCATCTGAAAACCTCAGAAGTTTTCGAACCCAATAGTGGATTACATCGAAGCACAAAAATTACCATCTCATCGCGCAAACCGCGTCTTCTTTAGACAAACCGTTTCGTCACAAACACTGAGAATGAAAGAGTCATGATCATGACTAAAATTTTGGGTGAGGAATTCTTTATTACTCAAATTTGGGTGAGGAAATTTTCCTCGCCCAAATTTGGGTGAGGAAAGTTTCCTCACCCAAATTTGGGTCATAATACTATGGAGCTATATAGGGAGCTGATACACCCTTTCTCACCCAAAATTGGGCGAGGAAGCTTCGCCCAAATTTGCACTGTCAGAAAATTCCGAAAAAAAAAAAAGGAAAAATCATGGAGTTTTTCCGAAACTTTTGCATGGAGCTCTCCATAAATGCAAATTCTGGGCTTTCTCCGAAAATTTTTGGAATTTTTAACAAAAAAAGCATGCTTCACTATCACGAAAACACAAAAAAAAGGGTTTTCAACCCGTTAAAAAAAGAGGGAAAGGTAAACCCCCACTAGTTTACCTCTGTTTTCATAATATTACGGGAAAGCTACAGGATTTAAGTCAAATGAGCTCGAAAAAGATTGTCCCTTCTTTGACCATTCAGACTAAAGAATGCTTCAGCGAAGCCCTCTTTAACCATTCTGAGAAAAGACATGCATTTTACCTCCCATCAGGACCCAAGTAATGCTCCGAAGAACATCTGTTTAAGCCCTGAGAAAATCTCTCCGAAAAAAAATGGAAAATGAATGGAGTCTCCCTGTACGTGATTATAGGGTTTTTCTCCATAAAAATTTTGGAGCTAATTTCTAACAGTGTGGGTGAGAAAGTAAACCTCGCCCAAAATTGGGTATTGATCATGACTTTTTCATTCTCAGTGAAGGGGCAGGGACAACGAATCGTGAAGAATGACCCAAAAATAATGCTTCCAAAAATCTAAGTGCATATTTGTCTATGGTTTAGGTTTAAATTTTGGCCCCAAAAAGAAGTTTGAGGAAACCCAAAACTTGAAAGGGAAACAAAATTTAAGTTTTCGTTTCCTTACCCACAGGCAAGAAAAACCATTTAAAAACGGTGATTTTAAAAAAGGTCGTTTCTTCCCACGCCGGAGACCATGAATGAGGGGGCGATCGGCCGAACCGAAAAAAACCCCAACAACGCGATGCCATTTACACGGATGCCTTTGCGGATCCTGTTCGTTACCCTGGTTAAAAAAAAAAATTGTACCGCTTTCGAACTATCCCATCAGAGAGAAAAAAAAGTTAAGGCAAACGCTGACGTAAAAGCAGATAATAGTCATGGGAATGTTTTTTGGCTGAGCGACAGCGAAGCCCCCGTGAACTGTGGTCGGGAATCCATTGGTCGGAGTTTTCTGTCTGTTGCGTTACACTTTTCTGAGGAGACCCTGATGGATAAGGTACAAATTTGCATAGTACTCTATAAATATCCAAATTAAAAATGACGGAGCGGTTTTGCGATTTCTTGCGATTGAAATAAATGGCAGACGTTTCGAGGGGTCCTTAGATCGTATCTGGTCCTTGACTTTCGAGGCTCTCTAACTGAGCTCGACATGAAGAGGTTGCGGTGCGGTAGCAGAGAAGGCTTTTCACGGAGATGTTAGCTTCAAACGAGGGGTACGCAAAGTGGGCTGGAATCGCATTCTGCCCTTATAATTATTGGCTGAGCGATAGCGAAGCCTGTTACTCCCGTGGGGTTAAAAAGTTTTTCCTGTCTGTCTGTCGGTCTGTCTGTCCTTATATGTGTCCGCACTACTCCTCCTGAACGGCTCGGCCGATCTCAATGAGATTTTGCACACTTCTTGGGTATGTCCTTGGCTCGGCACACGCGAAATTTCACTATCCTAGCCGATCCTAGCTCAACTGGTTCAGTTTTAATAGCCGAAAAACACCTAAAAAATGGCGAAAAATCGAGTTTTCTGCAGGCTGGTCACCTCTGTCTTGAAGGAGGGGGGGTCTTGGGGGGGGGGGGGGGGGGCGGAGCCCCCCAGCCTCGACAAGTTAAACAGTTACAAGGGTCAAGATCGTGTTATCTGTAGATGAAGCAACTCTATCTAGAATGAAGGGGGGTCTGGGGCCCTCAGCATGCAACAAGGTAGAAGTAACCGACGATGGACAAGCCATTGCCTGCCGAAGGCAGGCTAGCGCCGCAGGCCAAGGTAGGTACGCCAGGCGCGGATTGGAGGAACAGGCAGCGAGACATCGCGAAGCCTGATACGACAAGACGCGGTCTGGCGTAAACCTACCTTGTTTTCTCTGCCACTCTTGGTCGTTGAGCCTTCAAATTTGGTGTGTAGCAGCATCCCTTGATGGCACAAAATGGCACAAATGTTATCTAACAATATTTTACAATTTGATGAACCTGCGACCGAATCCAAGAAACCCGGGTTCAAATCTCGGTAGGGTTTAGTTGGTCAAAAATTTTGGTGTTGAGATAAACATTATATCCCATGGTTTTGAATATGCTGATGCCAAATTTGACATCGAAGTTGACCCCAGACTTAGATTTCAGTCCTTGTGGGATAAGAAAGGACCATTTTTCTACATTCTTGTTTGTTTTGAGGACTTTGTAATGTTTGGAGGGTTATGTTAGACTCCTCGTTTTGTCCCACTTCTGGGGCCTCTGTTTTGTCCGAGAGTCATCCCCACTACTGTGGCCCGGTCCAGGGGGCAGTTCTTCTGCGGAATGCAGATCAATGTAAGAAAAGCAGCTCTCATAATTACTGGACTTTGGGACGCAAAGACTTTTCAAATCGCCGTCGAGTAAAGAAGAAAAGGATGCACAAAACCGGATGTATAGTGAGTATGAAGTGGGTAGCGGGCCGCGGTAGGGGATAAATGTTTACGCCCTTAAAGGGCACATTATTGATGCCTTTGTTTCCTCAATGCATTCCCCAAAAGAAAAAGCTTGGCGTGACAACTTCAGACCGCGCGCCACTCGCTATGGGCGCGCAGCAGCAGCGTTGATAGTGCGCTTGTGCGCAAGCACGCTCACGCCCACGGTGATAACGAGCACACCCGTGACGTCAGCCCACCACTTTTTGAC